CCCTTTCAGGATAATGTTTTTAAATTCATAAAATAATATAAACAGAAATAAAAGCAGTTGTACTGAAATACAGTTCTGTGCATGGACCATAGGTTAAAGACCCCTGCACCAAATTTTGAATAGCCCTTTAGCTAATGTATCAAAAAATGCCTGAGAACATATCTAAATAGAACAGTTTCTTAAACATCTAAGAGCAAAGCTAACGTGTGTTCATTAAACACATGTCTAATAAAGCCCTTAAATTATATTGTGTACATATGTGTTGTTTTTGCCTTTAAATCTGGAAGTAAGAATTGTTATCAATTTAGGAATAAGTATATTATAAAGATTAAAGGAGAAGATTGGTTTTATTGTAACTTACAGATATTATTGTGTCATCTAGTAGAACCATAAAATCTTGGTGTCAATATACATGCCTTAAAAGTTAACCTTGAGTATTTTAGCATGTTACAAATTTTGAGCCTTGCCCGATTCAACTGTAGAGTTGGTACATGGATTGATTAATTAAAGGTATGGGCTTAGTAAAAAAGAAGATATGAATGAAGGAGTAGAAGGAAGGATGTCAATGGTAACAAACAGGATCAGTTGAAGTGGAATTAGAAAATAATGTGTGATTGGACACACACACACACACACACAACTACACTGAAAAGTATGTGTGAGCAAAATAAGTAAAGACCGTTGTTAGTCTAATTAGTAATTTACTTTCCACAATTTCACATGCCCTGGAAATTTTGAAAATACATTTCATCTTTGAGTGGCACTAAATATCTCATATGAATGTAATGGTATTTTACCTATTTTTTTAAAAGTTTATTTATTTTGGGAGAGAGAGCACGCGCGCTCACATGACCAGGGGAGATTAAGAGATAGAGGGAAAGAATCCCAAATAGGCTCTGCACTGTTACTGGGGAGCCTGATGTGGGGCTTCATCCTACAAACCAGGAGATAATGACCTGAGCCAAGATCAAGAGTTGAGTGCTTAACCAACTGAGCCACCCAGGTGCCCCTATTTTACCTATTTTTAAAAAAAGAAATTAAATGATCACTGAATTACTTTAAAGTCTCTTATAGGCTTTTCTCATAATGTATATTAGAGTCTCATAATTTTTATCCTTTTCCTTCTTTAATGGAACGTAGAAATAGGCCTGAATAAAAAGAGGTATTGTGCCCACATATTTTGAAAATGATACCACTTAATGTGAATATCAGTAGGTGTTAGTTACACATTTACAGAGTTTTTCTTTATCTATTTTCAATACTTTGTTGGCTCCGTTGACTTGTATATATTGAAACTGTAATTTTCAGTGTTCCTCTGATGTATCAAATATCTTTTCACTTCTGCATTTGTTTAATTTATTATTTATTTTTCTTAGTGACTTGTGGATTATAGATTCAGTGAAATCGGAAAATAGAAAAAAATCTCTCCTATTAAAACAGAGGGCATATTATGTATAAGACATGATCAGTATAGGTCTCATCTTGATTGTATTTAAAAACAGTGTTATATTAGTACAGTTAATTACCACAAACTCCACTGATTATGCAGCCTAGAGGAATGTTCTAACCCCTGTCCAAATATGAATCCTTCTACACTTGCCGTTTCTATGAAGGCACTTCATGCTGTCTCAAGACTGGGATGAAGGAGAGCTACTTGTAAGTCTTGTCAGGTGGTTGGAATGGATGGTGGGTTGGTTGCTGAATAATTCAAACTTCAGATGCTTTTGGAATCAAAGAAAAAATTAGATCCATTGCACTTTGTTTTTAACCAGAGGAGGGAAGATTGATCTTATGGGCAGGGGAAATACTCTGTCTGTGCTTTGCATATTGTTGTAGTGTAAGATATAATTGCTGCTAAGCCCTTGGAATAAAACTCTCAAAGGCATGCCTAGGTTAAGACTGTGTTGTGGTTTCTGAGCCTTACTTTTTGGAATCTCTTTGCTTAGGCCATGGCTCTTTTAAAAATTTACACATTATTAGACAGGGAGAAAATGATAAGAAATCTATATAACATAGGAGTTCAGAAAGGGCAGAAATTAGTTCAGTTTATGATTATGAGGTAATATTTTTCTTGAATTTTCTTTTTCTTTGTATTTTTTTCTTTATATTTGAATTTCTGACAATGTGATTTCTAAAAGAATAAGAATGTTAACATTAAACTCTGTTTTTATATAAAAACGCTGCAACCTTTGTGTTTATTATTCTCATTTGATGAAATTCACTACCATGCTCTTTTTCACATGACTTCCTGCGTATTCTACCAATTACAGAGAGAAATATCCATATATAAGTGGATCAAAGCATGGATTTAAAAGAGCAAAAAGAAAGAAGAAGTGATTTACTGGATCTGACACCCTATTTAACATTTCAGGATCAAACCAGTACCAAATTCCTAGGACATAGTAGGGAGTCCAGCAGACAGTAAATGAAGTGGCAAATGCAACTGTCATCTTTAGGGTCCTCAGCCGAGCTCTTGGTATATTGTTCTTAGATTGATTCAGTTGTAATTCTGTGAGATAGAGAAAAAAGTAGGTGTTTAAAGACCAGTTTTATTACAAAACCAAAATGGACAAAAAAGGAAGAGAGAATCACTAATTCAAACTAATTACTGGAATAAGAACACATTTCCAATATTTTTAATAACGGTAATTTGTTTGAAAAGGATGTTAATGTTCCAGGTTTTCCACTGTTATGTCACATAATGAATAGAAAAGATTAAAGATGACAGTGCTCTTAAAAATAAGTTTCCATCAGGGGCGCCTGGGTGGCTCAGTTGGTTAAGTGTCCAACTTTGGCTCAGGTCATGATCTCACCATTTGTGAGTTCAAGCCCCGCATTGGGTTCTGTGCTGACAGCTCGGAGCCTGGAGCCTGCTTCGGATTCTGTGTCTCCTCTCTCTGCCCCTTCCCAACTTGTGCTATGTCTCTCAAAAAATAAAATAAATGTAAAAAAAATTTTTTTAAAGTAAGTTTCCACCAAACTAATTTGGATTTGAAGCATGAAAGTACTCAAACTCTTAAAATATAAATTAAAAAAAATATAAAGTTGAGCTGAATTGAATTATCTGTTCACACAGAATTATACTTACTGAAATATCTCTGACAGGATAATGAGGATCACGCATGGATGAAAGTGTGTTGTCCAAAATTGTCTTTCTCAACCATGTTCTATGATATTCAAAACAATTTCACTTTTCATACCAATGCATCACTTAAAGTTCGCAGGTGTGTGTGCGTGTGTGCATGGTGTATGTGGTGTGTGTGTGGGGGGGTGTATGTTGCCTGTGTGTGTGGTATATATGTGCTTACTGTATGGTGTGTGTGTGTTTTGTGTGTCTGGTGTGTGTGATACATGTGGTGTCTGTGTGAAGTTTGCAACTTCTTGTTCATTGATCACAAAAGAGTGGAAATATGGAAGAAAACATTTATGTGCATGATGTTTTAATTATAAAATCAATTTTAACTAGAAATGTTAAAGTCGATAGTTTATTGAGTACAGATTGGTTATAGATTTTTGTCATACAAACGTAATTACCGTTTACCCTGTACCTTGCTATGGACCTTGTTCTTTTCATACATTATTTCATTTAATCTTCAGTATATGTAAACTTTAATGACATAAGTAATAAAAAAATCAGTAGGGATAAATACTTTAACACAAAAAAATCTTGGCTTAGCACGGGGGCTAGATTTGAAAAAATATTGATCCTCCTATAACATACTGTATTTCTCCCTCTTTTGAAATATCATCACATTTCATTATTGGTTTACTGTTTTACTATCTTTTCTGCTAGATGGTGGACTCCAGGAAAGTGGAATAGTTTACTGGCCTGTTTTATTCACCATGGTATCCACATCTATCACCATTTCTAGCAATATTGAATAGTTAATACATACTGATTGAGTAAATAAAAGATTAAGTAACTAAATCTATGTTAATAATATTTAACTATTGCCCTTTGCCTCTGCTGTTTTCTTTTTCTGTTTCCGCCTCCCTCACGTTTCTTCAGATTCAGCCCTATTTGGGATCTATCTTCTTATTCTCTATGCGTCCTTCTTAGATATCACTTATAGAACTGAATTTCTCTAGGATAAGATTTTGAAGGCAAATTGTTTTTGCAGTATACTTTTTAATAAGAATCAAATATCATTTTGTGCTGGGAACTGCCCAAGTTTCTATTATAGAGCATCACCATAATTATTTCCTTTAGAAAAAAATCTGCTAGGAGTAATCACACTACAGTAATTAAGATGATTTTCCTATTAAGTTGTGCCAGGTATAACTTATGCATTATGCCACTGATGACATGTCTTTTGGATGTTATGATGACATAGTCATGTTTACTTTGCAAATTCATAAATTTTAGTTTTTGGGAAAGTACCAGATTACTGAAGCAAAAAAGGCACAACCACAACTGTGAAAATTCAGATAAAAGTGTCAGTTACAACAGTATTTCACACACCAATGTACACACACACACACACACACACACACACAACACAAGCCCGGTTATGTTGTGTGGAATAGGGGATTTGAATATGAAACAGAACGGCTGAACTTTAGCGAGTCTCTTGGCTACCATTTAACAAGGTATACTTTGCAATATTATAGAAATCAGGTGTTTGGTATGGTGTTATAGTGGCCCAGCAGGAGCAATTTGCCAATGCTTATACTGGGTAAAATAAAGTAGTTGTTCTTTCATTCTTAATTTCATGGTACAAATTTAGAACATTGAGAGATACCAAATGACCTCATCTGTAAATTAGGGATAGTAAAAGTATAATAAAAGTATTACCTCATAGGGTGAGTGTGAATAGTAAGTGAGCTAATGTATGTAAACTGCTTAGAACAGTGTCTGCCACATAGTGCATGTCACTCTGCTTTGAATATTGCTGTTTGAAACCTGTTTGCCCACAATTAACATTGAGTCTGAGGAATACATACTGTGGGGATCTTGATGAAGGACCTGTGTCAGGGTGAAGATGATTTTTGCATTGCAGATTAACATGATGAGAAGAGGGATGATGAAGAGGCAGCTGAAGGTGAAAAAGTTATAAAAGGCCTGATGCCACCATTGTGGAAAACTGCAGTGTGTGACACATTGAGAGAAACCATCTGTCTGCCCAGAGCTGTCTGCTAAGTGGATCATCCGGAAGATGTATAACTGTATGAGAAAAGAAAACAATTAAAAGATGGTGTTACTTTCTTTCAAACAGTATTTGCATGTTTTCTTGAAAGCTTTTTCCTTCTGTATTCTCCAGGTCTTCTAACACGTTGTTGCCCAAAGCAATGACTAAGCTCCTTGATGTAATCCTTTTGTCACTTCAATGAGAAGCTGTAAAGTGGATCTTTACTTAAAATATGTTTGGGTAATGTGAATGGATCTATAGGATTTTGGATTTTTTGGAAACTATTTCAACCTAGCAGAATGATCAGCAACCAGGGATTTAAACATTGTTGTATTTCAATTTCAGTTGCAATTATGCTGAGTAAACCTTTTGGAAGTGATTTTGTCCATCATAACTGTAGCAGCTAAAGCTGTATCTAGCAGTTAGAATGTGCTCCCCAAATACATACTTAAATTTTATTTTTTGAAACAGAAAACCCCATTCAAATGGTCAAAGACATGAATAGACCATTTACAAAAGATGTAACAGTGGCCCTTAAACATGTGAAAAGATGTTCAACCTCACTTGTGTGAAGAAAAATGCCTATTAAGGCTATAGTGACATAGCATTTTTCACTATAAGGATTGGCAAAAATTAAAAATAACATACTTTCATGGGCAAGTTGTAAGAAAATATAGACTCTCCCACATTGCTAGTAGGAATGCAAATTGGCACAACCACTAGGGAGAAGAATTTAGCAATAGCTAGCATAACTATATCTGAATTTACCTTTGACCCAGCAATCTGAATCCAGGATTTTACCCTGAAGATACACTCCCACCTCTGTTATATGAAAATACATAGGCAGAAAGTTATTCATTGATGCATTGTTTGTAATTGAAAAAACATTAAAAATAACAAATACCAATTCATGGAACAGTAGGTGAATAAACTGTGGTGGACCACACAACAGAGTGCTATACAGCTGCAAAAAAAGAGTAAGGAAAATCTCTGTATATTTATGTGCATGTGTGTGTGTGTGTATTTATTTTCTAGCTGTCTTCTGGGAGCCTAGGAAAAATGATATCCCAGTAGCAATAAGCACATCCAGCACTCTAGTACCCAGATCTTGTTTTCTAAATACCATTCTCTACCAAAAGGAACCAGACAGAGTTCATTGGAGAGGTGAGTGAGCCCAAGGGTGACAAGCAAACTGCAATATGTGCTTGGAACAGTTTGTGCCAAAAAGTCAAGAAGTACTAAAAGAATAATGGAGCATGTCAAAAAGAGCTCTGGAGCCAGCTTGAAAGTACTCCCATTGGTCAAATCTGGGACAGTTTAAGCATTGAAAACAAAACCAAAAATAAATAAACCAAAAAAAAAAAAAAAAACCAAAACAACAACAACAAAAATCCTGATAAAAGGAATGATTAACAATAAAATGAAGAATCCATGAATTCTTGGTGATAGTAATTACAAAAGAATGACTACAAATAAATGGGGAGGGGAAAAAAGCTCTTTGTTACTGTAGAAAGCCAAATAATGTATAAGGAATAATGAAAGTAGTGATTACCAAATGGTAATAATAAGTGATTTAGGCAAGCATCATCAATGGATGGTAAAAACATGGATGAAATTTGAAGAAAGCAGGGTATTAACATCATCTTGAAGTATTTACCTGCAAGACAGCTTTTCTTATAAAGAGTAAAATTAATAACTTTACAGTAGATAACCAAATAATTAAATTAACATAGCCAATAATGGGACCAACTGACAACATCTGCTTCCTTATATAATGCATTGACAGGTACTAACCATCACTTCTTTGCTATCTTGGATTATAACCTTGGATTCTTTTTTGTTAAAAGGAACATTTTTGGGACAGTTGCTCAGGTATGAATAAGTTATATAGATTAGAATAGTATTTTTTCAGTGTTAATTTCCTGATTTTTGTTTGATACTTGTACTGTGGGTATGTGCCAGAAAAAACAAGACAAAACAATACAAAAAAAACAACACTGAAGTATCAAAAGGGACATCATATCTGAATTTACTTTTAAACAATTTAGAAAAAAATTTATAGGAAACAAAGCAAATGAGTAATGTAGTAAAATGTTAATATTTGGGGAAACTGAGGGAAAGATACTCCAGAAAACTGTATGATTCTTGCAACCTTTCTCTAAGTGTGAAGTTATTTTGTTGTTGTTTTTAAAACACAAATGAATCAACCATTTAAGAAACGTTGCAAAGATGACAGAGTAGTTGGGGGACCCTATGCTTGCCTCATTCCTTGAACACAGCCAGATAAATATAAAATCATTCTGAACACGCAAGTAATTGGTCTGAGGACTGAGAGACAATCTGCACATCTAGAGGGAGAAAAATGGCCACATAGTGGAAGATAGGAACTGTGGAGAGTTGTTGGGGCAGAAATGAATTGTAGGTGCTGTAGAGGGGAGGGAACCCTGATCACAGAGAGAGGGGAGAGAGAGAAAGCAGCATACAGGGGATTGCACAAGAAAAACACTTCCCCAAAAGCATTCACTGGGAAAATGAAAGGGGCTGATTATTGTAAGTTTTTACAAGCAGCAGAACTCAAAGTCTGAAGTTTTAGAAGTCTGCACCATTGCTGGAATCATGCCTGGCAGGCTTAGCGATGCTCCTGTGGGGAAGGAGGACAGAGGCCCAGGAGCAGACAGTGTGCTCTGAGGATCTTTTGGGTTGCACTGAAAAAGACATTTCCCTTATTGGAGTGTATTTGGGAGAGGTGGCTTTGCCTCTCAGAGGACAAAAGAAATGGTGGCACCATTGAGAGGTCCCATTAATTAGCATAGCAGCAGAGTCACCTGCTGAGGACAGCTAACCTGGAAGTCAGTTTTTGGCTGTGTTTTATCATAAACTCTGAGCCCCTGCATGGTTGTGTGACTTCTTTTCTGAGACAAACTGGCACCAACCACAGTGCAATGAGAACTTTCCCTAAAAGATCAGTGCATGTCCCTAAAATTTGGAGTTTGGAAACCCAGCCACATGCCTGAGCTAAAACACAGGAGCACTGAACGAGATAGCTCAGACACAGACAAGGTGAAGGCAGGGTTCTGATGGAAGCCTGGAACACAAGAGTAGAGATTGTTCACACTTATGTGAGGGCTTGCTGAAAAGAGATCTGTGTGAGCTCCCCTTTCCTGGGACAAGAAAATGAGGTGGCACCATTTTCACCCACCCATCAGCACAGACAGATTTCAGTGAGCAACACAGCACTCCCAGAGGAGGCTGAAGCTGCTTACATCAAGCCCTGCCCCACTGTGCCCTGCAGGTGCACCTCTACTAGGGCAAGTCAGCCTGAGAACCAGTGCAGGAGGCCCCTCCCCCAGAAGACCAGCACAAGCCCCTCACCCTCCATATGTACCAAGTCTACTGACCATAGAGTGATGCAACGCTTTAGCTCTAGGGGGAAACAGGATCTTGGCTTTTCTAACAAGCAGACCAAAACCAAATGGTTAAAACTTGCCACATCAGGATAAGGTCCAAACACTCCTCACTGCAGGTAAGAAGAATCTCTGCAGAGGACTGATCTGAGGGGAAAAAGCAGCCAAGACACTACAGCAGGGTGCACACAGCATACACCAAAAAAACTTTCTGAAGTGCCAGGCCCTGGACAGTATATAACCTCTTCTTAATATAGCCATTATATTCAGAGGCAGGAAACGTAACGGTCTTTCCTAACAATAGAAGACAGAGATCTAGGCAAATGCTAAGATGGGAAAGTTCATCCCAAAAGAAAGAACAAGAAGAGGTCGCAGCCAGGGATCTAACCAAAACAGATGTAAGTAATATGCCTGAACTAGAATTTAAAACAACAATCATAAGGATACTACCTCAGCTTGAGAAAAGTATAGAAGACACTAGGGATTCCCTTATTGCAGAGATGAAAGAATTAAAACCAGTCAAGCTAAAATAAAAAATGTTGTAACTGAGATGCAAAACTGATCAGTGTAATGACAACAAGGATGGAAGAAGCTAAGGAACGAATAAGTGATATAGAAGATGAAATTAGGGAAAATAATGAAGTTGAAAAGAAGCAGGAGAGAAAAATATTGGATCATGAATGTAGACTTAGGGAACTCAGTGACTCCATAAAGCATAATAATATTTGTATCATAGGAGTCCTAGAAGAAGGAGGGGAAAAGGGGCAGAGGGTTTATTTGAGTAAATTATAGCTGAAAACTTCCCTAATCTGGGGAAGGAAACAGACATTGAAATCCAGAAGGCATAGAGAACCCCCATCAAAATCAACAAAAGGAGGCCAACAGTAAAACATAGTAGTAAACTTTGCAAAATACACAGATAAGGAAATAATCCTGAAAGTAGGAAGGGAAAAAAATCATTAACCTACAAGGGAAGACAAATAAGTTTTGCAGCAGATCTCTCCACAGAAACTTGGCAGGCCAGAGGGAGTGGCATGATATAGTCAATGTGCCACATGGGAAAAATATTCAGCCATCAGTGCATTATCCAACAAGACTGTCATTCAGAATAGGAGGAATGATAAAGAATTTCCTAGACAAACAAAAACTAAGAGTTTGTGATCACTAAACCAACCCTGCGAGAAATATTAAAGGGGACTCTTTGAGTGGGAAAGAAAGACCAATAACACCAAACATTAGAAGGAACAGAGAAAATCTCCAGAAACAATGACTTTACAGGTAATACAATGGCACTAAATTCATATCTATCAATTAATCACTCTGAATGTAAAAATTACTAAATGCCCCAATCAAAAGACATATGGTAACAGAATGGATAAAAAAATAAGACCCATTGCTGTGCTGCCTACAAGAGGCTCATTTTAGACCTAAAAACACCTGCAGGTTGAAATTGAGAGGATGGAGAATAATTTATCATGCTAATGGACATCAAAAGAAAGCCAGAGTAGCCATACTTATATCAGACAAACTAGATTTTAAACCAAAGATTGTAACAAGTGATGAAGGACACTAAATCATAAGTAAAGGATCTATCCAACCAGAAGAACTAAGAATAATATCTAAGAATATATCTAATAAGATCTAAATATTTATACTCCCAATTTGGGAGAACCCAAAGATATAAATCAATTAATAACAAACATAAAGAAATTAATTGATAATAATACAGTAATAGGAAGGGGCTTTAAACACCCCGTTTACAGCAATGGACAGATCATCTAAGCAGATCAACAAGGGAAAAATGGCTTTGATGACACACTAGACTAGATGGACTTAACAGATATATTCAGAACATTTCATCCTAACACAGCAGAATATTCCCCTTTTTTAGTTCACATGGAACATTGTACAGAATACATCACATACTGGGTCACAAATCAGGCCTTAACAAGTACAAAAAGACTGAGTTCATACCATGCATATTTGAAGACCACAATGCTATGAAACTTGAAGTCAGCCACAAGAAAAAATCTGGAAAGACCACAAATACATGGAGATTAAAGAATATCCTACTAAAGAACAAATGGGTTAACTAAGAAATGAAAGAAGAAATAAAACAAATATATGGAGAAAAATGATAATGAAAATATGACAGTTCAAAATCTTTGGGATGTAGCAAAGGTAGTCAAAAGTGAGAAGTGTATACCAATACAGGCCTACCTTAAGAAGCAAGAAAAGTTTCAAATTCACAAGCTAACCTTACACCTAAAGGAGCTAGAAAAGGAACAGCAAATAAAGTCTAAAGCCAAAAAAGGAAGGGAAATAATAAAGCTTAGAGCAGAAATAAATGATGTGGAAACAAAAACAGCAGAAGAGATCAATGAAACTAAGAGCTGGTTCTTTGAATAAATTAATAAAATTGATACATCTCCAGCCAGACTTACCAAAAAGAAAAGAGGACCCAAATAAATAAAATCACAAATGAAAGAGAAGAGATCACAACCAACACCATAGAAATGAAACAATTATAAGAGAATATTAG